GTATATATATATATACATTTATATTTTTTAACATTATATATTTTTTGTATATAAAATAGGTATTTATCGATATATTTGTTATAATTATTTATTTGTTAGATCATCTAATAAGATGATATATCGCTTTATCAAAAAATTACACGAATTTAATTAAAATTATTTACGTGAAAGTATATTACCATAAGATATTCACAGCATTGCTTTGGTTTATAGTTTTATCATAATATAAAATACATTCTTTGTTTATTTCTTATAATCTTTTTCACGAAATTTTGGATTTATGATAAAGATAAGCATGTATATATATACAGGGTGTTTAATAAGTAAAAACAGGTCAATTGTTACAAACAATAAGAATAATAGATACCCGTTTCTTTAAGTACTGAACACTATTATGGTGATCAGTAAGTAATAACAATTTACCTGTTTCCTTATTTATTGAATACTCTGTATATGTTTAAATACCACCCATCTCAAACGTGCATTACAACCGCAATACATATTAATAGGAATCGGCACCACGTGTCAGTACTGTAATTGGCGTTCTAGTTCTTTTGTTTTGAGGTGGCTGTATAGGGCTCAGAACTGTATACTTTACTTAAATATTCAGAATGTTCAGTAAGTAAGGGAACAAGTCAATTGTTCTAAACAATGAGAACAATAGAAATCTGTTCCTTAATAACCGAACACACTATACATATATAAATAATAGAAAACATAATTATAAACGAATTTCCAAACTTTATTATAGGTAGCTTATATAATGGTGTGTACGGCGCGTTTTGACAATACATTGACGATTTCAACACCTATACTTCTACATAACAATAATAAAAATGGACAGCGCACTTATCTTACGACTAAGTAGATCGATCAGTGGCAATAACTGATTGAACGATAGCATAACGTTTAATATAATTAATACGAGAAAATGTTCCTTTTTTTGGTTATTTTAAAATTTTAGAAAAGATCAAGTCAAAGAATAATATGTACACAGTTGATAGCGTCGAGCTCAATCAAGTGTACGTTTGCATGTCTTACATTTCAAGACATATATTTATTTTGTAATGTTTGGTTGCTTTTAATGACGAATGACATATAAATATAACATACAGAATCGACATTTTAAGAAGCGTCAGGTCAGATGTAGCGGTTTAATAAATGTATAATTTTTATCAATAATAATATTTGGTTGTGACTGTTATTGTTACTTTATTCAATGCATACATGTTTGTTTATTAATATTAAGTTACTGACACTGGGGTGATACCAAAAATTGTTATAAATACAAGGGCTGATAGCAATAAAAATTTTAATCTAAAAAAAAACAGTCCGTAGTTTAATTATTTTATTTTTGAGTTCATATATTTCTACCAAAACATTCCAGCCAAGACGGAATTAAACTCGATGTCTCGAATAATCTTGTCACACCAATTTGGACATTATATTCTGATATTGACGACGACGACTACTTTTTATTTTGTGTATATATTCTCTTTATGCGTTTGTTTTAACGTTTAACGGTCATGCTACAAAATTTTCAAATGTAGTAGCATTCGACGAAATTCTCTTTATTAAAACTAACCAAAGAACCCGGCTTGAAAAACATACAATACGTGTAACACAGAAGGACTACCATTATATAGTAGCTTCAGACACGAGAGTTCGAGGCAAACTAATTTCTAAATAATCCCTTTTCATTCGATTCATTTTTAGAATACAAAAGGTGGTTTAACATTTTCAAAAACCAGCAGCTTATTGTAAACGTATAACTTTTCTGTTGTTAAAATTGAGTCGTGGCGGAGACGAAACGATCGATTTGTAAAATATTACATTATTATTATATTTTTTAATGATATCACAAACGCATTCGGGGTACTTTTCTTATTCATATATTACCATTAATAATTTATTTGCTCGGTATTTTTATTATTGTAAACATATTGTTTAAGTGATCCGATAAAACATGCAAATTTATCAACGTCAATTTATTATTTTTCAGTTGTATTTATTTGTTTTATCCTAAAGCTTTCGACAAACTGCCAAATAAAAAAAAATTGATAATGTATATGTTTAAAACCAAATAAATTCATTGAATTTTAATTTTAATAAGAAAGTATTTATATTTTAATTATTTACATAATAGTAAGAAGCTTTTATGTAAAAATTCTATGTTCGATCATTAACAATTCAAAGGACTTTTTAATCAGTATCACTTCTTTAAATTTCTTTATTCAAAGAATTATTATGAAAGAATTTTAAACACGATACTATAACAGTAATTAAAAATATCAAATATATCTAAATATATTCATAATAAAAAATGAAACATTGATACCGAACAAAATGTGTTTTTGATCATGATTAATATATTCTTTTTAGAAAAACTTTTGAAACATTGTCTGATATTTTTTTCTTATGCATTATAGTTTTTTCATTAAACCACGGCAAACACATAAAACAAAATGAAATGCGTGTTATTACTATGTGAGTAATTTTTTAAAATTCGTAATTTTAAATATTATTAAAGAATGTTTAAAAAGTTATAAGAGTGATTTTTTTCCTTTCTTGGAAAATAATTTTAAATTGTTCAGAATTTTATGTGTTTTACTATCTTCTATAGATGATTTTGATTAAAATTCTTATTTAGACAATCATTTTTAGTAGTCGAAGGACATAATTTTTTGTGATTGAGAGTTCCACTTCAACCTAATTATTAATAAATACGCCTGCAAGTTTGGGAGTACTAGTTTAGAGTTAATACTACCTGAACTCCAAAGTTAATTCTATCACTCAGAATATACTGGATCAAATACAGGGGATATTTTTTATTTGATATTACGTGGGTCTAGTACGAAAAGGTTACAACTTGGAGTAATGGATTTTCTATTAGAGCGTTTTTAGTTTAAATGATATTGTTTTTAAATTTTACACAGAACATTTACTCTTAACTAAATCAATTTAACGTTTTTGTTCTTAGTTTAAAATATGTGTAGTTAAGAATAAAATTTATTTGTTATATGAGAAAAAATGATTTATAATAAAAACTAATTAGAAATTTATTCATTAATTCCCAACTAAAGTAAACCTTTTTATGACTAAATAAGAAAAATATTATAAAAATCGTTATGGAAATACTCGTGATCAGTGGCGTACCCAGAATCGAGTAAGGGGGCTAATACTAAAAAAATTGTAGTGAATTTTTTCTAGTTGATTTTTTAATTAAATGAAGGTTTAGTTCGACCAATGGATGGCACTTAGTACTGTTAGATTCTCTAGATACGAATAGATAGAATTTTACATAATTTATGTCTAAGAATACTTGATTCATTAAATTATGTTTCACTTCTTTTTTCGAAAAAAATTTTCTTAAAATAAAAACTTTCATCTAATGCATTTTCAGAAGTACATTATTTATACTTCTTAACAGTCTGTCACTATTCCCAAAAATATCCATTAGTTATTACAATATTTATCATTGAAGACAATTAGTTCTTTTTGTCATAATAATGAATATATTATGCAGTTTACTTAGCAGTTATAATAATTTTATTTCAACTATTGTGTTAATCAATTCAAACTACCACACATATTTTTGGGGGTGTTATTTATAGTTTGATAAAAACTAAAACTGTTCGAGTTATGTAATTTGTTTTATCTATTAACATACAAAGCGATTTTTTTAATGATAGCCACTTAAATTCTCTTTAAATTATAATTGTGTTAATAGAATTATTTTTGGTATTTTGTAGTTTCATATATTTGTTTATATATAGTTATTAATTATTTTTTTAATTCATCCCTTATACCTTATAAGGGTATTGACTTAAATTTTTTAGACCAGTTAAAAAAATATAATGTTTAGACCAATATTTCAGAAGTTATTAACATTTTATCGTGATGACTGGATGGAGACACGGGTGTTGTTAATTTTATCATTAGTCATTTACCGGGCGTATTCTTTCTCCTGCCTAGGTATAAAAATGTTAATAAAATCTGAAATGCTGGTCTTAAAGTTCATCTACCAGTCATTTTCTTAATTAGATCGTTATCTATTAAATAAGCTAGTTAATTAAGTAAATGTTACCATTTGAAAAAAATAAAGTTGACAGCCTTATAAGGTACAAGGATGACCATAAAAATGCTTTATGATTGATGAATTGAGAAAAACATGTACATAAAAGAAAATAAATAAAAATTCGATTCAGAAAATCGATAACTTTGACATTTCTCGGGCGCACTTCTCCCTGCATAGGTATAAAAATGTTAAACCTTAATACAAGCTTTAAAATTTGAAATATAGGTTAGACTTTTATAGTTTAGAACACTGTAAAAAATTTATACCTTTATTTGTTAAACCGTTTATAAAATGGGAGAATGTCATAGTTTTCATTTATATTAGCCACTTCTGATCATTAAAATTTTTAGATAATTCCCGTATAGGTAGAAATTATAATAGAGTATGGAAGACTGTGGAATCTATAGAATCCCCATAGACAAATTTTCAAGCTGTGGTCATGTTGTAGGTATTAATATGAAGAAACCATTAATTAAATTAGGCGTATGCAGAAAATTATAATCAAGGGATAGAACCAGAAAACAAATAAAACCATTTTAGCTACTTTTGGATGATTTTTTTCAATTAGACCCCATTAATGTATGAAACGTACATCGTGAAACGTGTACTATCATAAATAAAGTAAAAATAAAGGTATATCTTCGTTGTTTATAGGTTTTTATTTTTATTATTGTTCTAGATATTGTAGCTATATGGCACTGTTTTTACAATGCACATAAAAACTATAATATAAAAATAATGGTCAAGAAACTGTTAAGATATCGATTAATACGTTATTACGCGTTGAATACTATGGCTGTAACTACTTGGTTAACTTTTTTGGTTATTTTTATTATAATTATCGTTTTCAAAGTATATTATTTATTGTCGAATTAGGTTTAATATAATAATATTTTTCAACTACAAAGTTAAATAATTTTACTTTGTTTCGTCTAAATTTCTTGACTTTATTTGTGTGGTCTACTGCCATTCTATAATAATGCAAATTTGTTGGTAATATGTTACTATATAAATCATTTCTAAAACAAAAAAAAATGATTTTGAGTTTCACTTGAATTTAACAATTGATTTTTCCAATTATAATTAATTCTTATAATACGCTTAATCGAGAGATTATTTGTTTCGATGCGAAGCTAAAAAAGTATTGGTCTTGTGATGGTGTGCGTTATTTTATCTGTCCATAAAAAATCTCTCACAACCGATTTGAATAATCAATATCTCAAAAGAACCAAATTTTATTCTAGTTGAACTTAAAGTCACCTATTAATGAATAAAAACCTTAATTTTAGAAATTTAGACAAATATCTCATAATTACACTACTGTCAAACACGGAATTTTTAAAAAATATTTCTTTCATTTTAAAACTGCTGTAGTTTATTTTTAAAAACACTGATTCTAATGAAATTTTAATAATGTATCCTAGATGAAAATTTTTTTTTGTATATGATTTTATGATAATTCAATGAAAAATCTAAGTACAAGAAGGGTTTGAAAAAGACCACTAATGCATTTTGATTATTTTTTTTTAACACAATTTTTAGATGTCTCGAAATGATTGCATTCTTTAATCTTACACCAAAAAAACGCCTTTGAAATATATTATAACATGAATAAAAAATTGTCTTGGCGACTGTTCTACTATGAGGAAATTGGCCATCAAAGTAAAATAATTCACAATTTTTTTAACAAAAATGATTTATTTAAAATGTGTATTTTAAAATTAAATATCTCTACAAATAATAGGAGAATATAATTCGTTTTTATAATGAATTACGCAGAAAAATCATATCACTAAAATAAATATTTTTAAATCATGATAGACCAAAATATACTGATCTTATATCTGCAATTAGATTTTTCCTATTTTTGTTGAGATTATTACGAATTAGTAAAAACCAGTATTTACATATAAAAATTGATTGTGATTTTTAATACGTTAAAAATAAACTGTACAAAATTACGACTCAAAATATCATGTTTAACCTATTTTTTTGTTCCTTTAAATTTAATTTTTATAAAAGCTTATAACTTTAAAAATTTTTTAAGTTTAACTTTTGATCACTCTTAGTGTTTAAATAGATGCTATAATTGAAATATATAGAATTATATTTTCTATAGTTGTATCCTATATACAATAATTATAAACCTATAAGTCTATAAAGATGGAGGGATTTTATTGAATATGATACAAGGAAGACCGATATGTGCGTAAATGATGTGAGGGATCGTGTCAAATGAAAGTTTAGGATAAGTGTGGCTGACCACAAGTAGTTGGGATAAAGGCGATGAAAAATAAGCAGAGGAATTTTATCTGAAAAACTAATTATACATCTTAATATACAGTAGACAATTATCAAAGTAAACACATTTAATGGAATTAATAATTCGTTTGTTAATATTTTATAATTAATTTACTTTAGAGTCTTATCAATAATGTTAAGGGTGCAAAGGACTCTAAAAATAATTATCATTATTCGTGTTAAACGCACAATGAATATTCAATATAGTAACATGTAAATAGGTATATAACTCCTATATGGAAATTATTTATTATAATAGAAAATTGTAAATTATGTGAGTGTGTTTAGAATAATTAAAGGATTTATGGCTATCTACCTAATATTCTACCACAAACTGTTTATTTTGCTTCTGGGTAAGAGCCAAAAGGTTATACTTAATACTGATATGTGCATAATGTTGTTCTAAATTTAGTTGAAAGTATTGTTTAATATTGTAATTAAACCAATATACATACAATATTTTACTAAAACTGAATGTGATGTATATAATTTAAATTACTCACGGTAAATATTTGCCATCAAGAACAATAGGCTGATTCTGAATCTCTGGCGTGATTTAGTCACTGTAGCTGTGTATTCATTTAAATGTTACTCTGAATTTGGATAAAAAATTGTTTGTCAATTAAGACACGTGAATGAGTCTATGGTTTGATATTTTAATTTCATGAATCCCTAGAAATTAAATTGGTTGATTAATATAGGGTTTTTAAGTATCTTAAGTTAAAATTATTGTATATATTATAGTTATAAAAACAATATTTATGCCCTAGGCATAAATATGTGAAATTTGATCTTAATTTTTGGATTCTTTAATTTTTTTTAATTTACTTGATATTTTCTAAACTAGTGGGCTATGACAGAATTAATATGAGCCCCTCCTAGACACCTATATTGCACTTATGACTAAGAATAATAAGTATCTTCTATCATTCCTCGAAACTATTTAGTATATTGAAAATAAGTTATTAATTTTTTCTCGCCAAAAAAATTACACATTTCTAGTATAAGTATATTTTTAACGTATATAAATACTATTATTTTTTATTTAACATTTATCATTGTTTTGTAGTCTACCTTGTATAAAAATTGTTTTTTGAAGATGAGAAGATATTGGTTTTACCCTGATTTTTTATGTTAGTCCATGATAATTCTCAGGTCTCATTGGACTAATTTTAATGATTAATACGTCAAGCAGTTTGTTTTGCGTTCTCCTTTATAATAAGAAATTTTTATTTTACGTAAGTTTCAATTAGCGATGTAAAGTTTATAAACATTTAATTCATAAATTAAGATGACAATAGTGAAACAATGTATTGTTAACTAATTATGTATTAAATACTGTAAATAATTCTTAGAGGTTTTCTTTAAGTTAAGTAAATATTAATAAACAAGATAATTTAATATAAACATAAAATATGATGTTATAATAAGTTTATAATATCATATTTATAATTAATTTTTGGGTCCTCTATTTTTTCTATACATCAAAATTGTTCTTCCTTAAATTCAAAAGTATAGAACATATTTTCAGAACAAAAACATTAAAAACTAATCTTATAAATTTAGGGTGGTTTTTTTTAGAATTTTGATTTAACGACGCATACTTAAAGTAATGAACTTAGTTCTAACTAGTTTTTTTTTAATTTTGTAAATGTGTTATCATTTAGCGAACACTCAACATTAACAGAAAATAATAATATTTTTAAAGTGGAAAAATATAAAGAAAAGGATATTTCTTAATTTTTTACAGAATTGCAGTTTTTTAAAATTGTGTTGAAAACTTTGTGAAACCAATTTAGAATATTTAGAAAAACAGATAAGTGGTTTGTCTTAAGTAGTTATTTATGATATGTTTATACTCCGGCACTATGTATAAAACAAAAAGTAGAAAAAAAAATAAAAGCTCTAACTTACAAAGCGATCGCTGAATTAATTTTTTTGCCTACTAGCTGTTGGTATTTTCAAACATACATATCTTGCTTTTGTTGATTTAAATACAACTGTTTAATAAATTAATAAAAATGAAAAGTTTCTTTATAATTTTGTTTAATAATTAAATTAAATTGAAACTATAAACTATAAAAAATAAATATCTTTTTTATTTAAAAAAGGGAAAAATTAATTGTTAAATAGTTTTGTCAAAATAATTCAGAATATATAACGTAGCATACGAATTAGAAGATTTATGCATAGAAAATAAACTCCTGATCTTATGAATCCAAAGATAATTTGAATATAATAGTATAAGTTCTAAATTAAAGAACGTATAATTACTAAATTGTTGTTATTTTTATATTTTGGGGTTTATTTAATTATTTTGAATGAATATTTTCAGTGAAAATTTTTCACAAGTATTTTTATTTTTTTAATATGAAAACATATATTTAAAAAACGCACCTTTCTAGATATATTTTAAAAACATCATAAATAAAGTAAGCCATTTAACCAATATAATAGTGTTACAGTTACTCTGTATTTTACTTTATTGCTCAAAGCATCAAACATAATTGTAACTAAGACAAATAATACAAATAAATACTGTACTAATGATAGCAAAAAATAATATTTAACGTGGTTTATCTTATAACTGTAATTTATACACAAAATAATTTTTAAGTTACACCCCGTTCTAAAACTACCTATTTTACAAAAAAAAAACATTTTTTGGTAACTCTATAAATTGCTTAAGTGACTTGTTTATTTCATAAAATTGTCTAAACACTACCCATTTCATGAAATTAAAAAAAAACTACCTATTTTATGAAACGATTAATCATATAAATTGAGAGTAAAACGTACATTAATAATAAATCAACTCTTATAGTCCATATCACCGTAAGACCTTAGCACCCATTTCTGAAGATCCGAAACTAGGAGTCTGGTATATTTGTCTCAGCATCGAACTGTAATTTCCAGCTATCCCATCCCTTTGGGGTTATCCTTCAATTGAGATTCCTTTAACCGTGTTTGCGCTTTATTGCATAATCCGGATTATCCCAAAAAATCATACAATTAAATGAGTATGTTTTATTAGTCTCAACTGGATAAAAAGTTTATGATATTATTTAAAATTATTTTTTTAAATGGACACAATTCAATTCAAATTTATACATAAAACGTAAAATATAATTCGATCAACGTACAAAAATGTTCAAATGAATATATAAAAAACGTATTAAGTAAAATAAATATTATAAATAATAAGTGTGTAATTATATATATATTATCGCTTTGCTAACCACATAAACAATAACGATTATTTGATGTATAAAATTAAGTCTAAGTTATTTTTGTACATAGTCTGGAAATATGTTGTCACACATTACTTAATCAGTCAATCAAATCTAATTCGAATAACAATATCGGATGAATTAAATATAAAATAAATGATTGTAACCATAATTTATTAGGATTTATATCATTAATATTATATTTGATGAATACAAAATATTATTGATGATTAGATATAGTACTATAAAGTATACGTTTAATGAGTAACAATGTAGTAAAATACATGGGATATTTTTTGACAGCGTGAAGTATAATTGCAATGGAGAATTAAGATAATAGATAACAAAAGTGTTTAGCTTGAAAAATAGATGCGGTATTTTAACGTAAAACATTAGTACTGAGTGCATTATAAAATATGTTTTACCATCATCAAACAACTTTCAAACGTTTAGAAAAAAACTTTATTGAACTTTTTTTAAGCTCATATAATTTTTGATAAACCAATTTTATGAACTAACAATAATCTTGAGAATTTATTACTCTATTTAATTCAGCAAAATATTACTTTAAGTATTACAAATGTGATGTCTTATTTATCTAATTTACCAAAAAATATATAAAAGTATTTTAAAAAATTAAGTAAAGGTACTCAGTTCCAATGTCTTTTCTACTTACTCTCTGATAATAAGAGCAAATTCACGGGAGTTTAGGAGGTGGCTGATAAGACATGAATTCGACATATTACATGAGAAGTTTGGCTGGTGATCAGGAGATGGTTGCAGTGCATTTTCAACCAGTCGGCAATTGATTAGATTATATACAATATAGTATTCTCAGGAGTTTAGTTGGCAGTTTGGTGAAGGTATGCAAAATACACTTAAGCGAGTCTACTGATTCTTATCTTACTGGGTATGGTACTCTTAACAAGACAAATCAACTCGGTAATTTCAAGAAGGCCTTTGGTTTAAAATTACTGTGTACTGCAGATAGTACGCGGTACAATATTATTGTAACATAAACGTGATAGCTGCGAAAGTACATATACTTTCTTCAACTGTATTTCTTGTATTTGTTTTCGGTTTTCTTTATATTTGTGTATTTTACCCTTGGAAAAACATAGCTTTTTAAAGTTTTTGAAAAAGAAAAAATTTTAAAATTACAAAAAATCTCAAATTAGTTTAGAGTTACGTTTAATGTTGGTTTAAAAAGTTAAAGGATTAAAATAGAAATGTTTTAGGCAGAGTTTAAAGTTTAGACAATGGATCACATTGAATGATATACATTTGTATGTGAAAATGCACATATAAAATTCTAGCAGTAGTTAAAACAAATGTAAATATAAAATAAAATAAAAAATTTTATCTATTGTAAAATGATTATAAAAGTCATTTATAAAAAAAAAAGTAAATATATTTATATAAGGATTAGATGATTAATAACCAACATAATACTTATGTGTTTATTTATTATTATTTTTATCAAAATATTAAAATAATAAAGTTTCTTTGCAAAATGTGAAAAGTTTTTACAATATTGTAAGTAATCGGTGAACATTTTCGAAAGCAATGACTAAAAGTGTCAAAATGTAAGTAAAAAATATCTATTTTTTTTGTTTTTCATTAAATGTAAAACCACGTGCACATTCGTAAGCGACTGACAGTTAAGGGTATACTAATGAAATATTGTGGTAAGCATCAATATTGGAATGTGAAATATATGTGATATTGACCCTTGCTTCTATTTGGTAAAAACTAATGATAGCTGATAAATGTACATTCTTTTATTAAAAGTTCAACTTTCATAATATTTTTATAACATTGCTTGAAGGTTAAACACATCACTTGTTTCTCTAGAAACTTTTTGATGTGCTAATAAAACAATTACATATACCTTTTACAAAGGAAAATTTCACGTTTAATGAAAGTTAGCCTTTTCCTCGATAATTAACCACTCCCTGCAATAATTCCTAAACTATAAATTCGGTAATGATTTTTAGGAAAGCTAAACTTATTACGATAACGATCACTTAAAAACTTTAGGAAAGATTTTTGAATACTTTCGTTCAAGTTGTATTAATTTGAGAATATGTTTAAAACGTTTCGATCAAATATGTAATTTGATTAAATTTAGTATTTCACACACAACANATACCTTTTACAAAGGAAAATTTCACGTTTAATGAAAGTTAGCCTTTTCCTCGATAATTAACCACTCCCTGCAATAATTCCTAAACTATAAATTCGGTAATGATTTTTAGGAAAGCTAATATTTAAGGGTATCATTTAAGATACGCAGGGTATATATTTGTGTACCTGACATTCAGTGTATTTATTTTTGATCTACGAGTTACAGCTGAGTACAAGATTCATTCTTTATACATCTGAGGTATCATTTGGAACTTGTACTAAAATAATAGATAACCATATGATTAATTGTGCCAT